CCCCGCCCTCTCCATCCCTCACCATAGAGGACATTGATCTGCCTCCCCGCACACCCCTTTCCTCCCTCCTCTCCTTCCAGCACACCAGACTTAACCACTGAAGGCAGCTCTCCATACTGCTGGCTGTGCTGTTTGCTCCCTGGGTGCTATGCATTTATCGGCCAAATTATTGGCCCCATCGGAATTGGAATCAATTTTCCTTATGTTGGTACTGATCCGATATCGGACTGATGTATAGGTAGACCTCTACAACTTATGCGTGATACAGTCTCATGACTAAACTGTCCTAGGAGGGTAGTGTTACCATTGATTCCCTGCCTCTCCCCTGGACACCACTTACTTTTATGGAGCCTGTCCCACATTCAGCAGCCGGGACCTGCCTTGAATGCAAGGCAGGTTACCATACATTCTGTTTTGCCACACAATAAATGTATCCCACATGTTAGTGGTAGATTGTTGCTGATTTTACTGATGGGTCTCCAGAATTACTGTGCTGGCAGAGTTCTGAAATCATCCAGTGTTCTCTGGATGACCTTGAAACCCAAGTAAATTCCCAGGACAAACAACAAGTTCGGCAAACCTATGCATGCCTGTCTGTCTATCAGCTCTTTCCTCCATCTTGAGGGGACCTTATCTGTTGCTGTTTTGGAAATATCAGAGTTTTAGAGTCTAAATTGCTGTAGTATTGCTCCTTTTCTGCCTTCATGTGATTTATTCTTGGCATCTTCAGCAGCATGACCCAAGCTGGATACAGAGGTAGAAGTAGCTGACAGAACTTGATCATGAGTCTTTTGAGTACTCTAGCTGCTAATCACCCAGTGATTGGCATTTTAAACTGAAACAGATTTTAGGGCAACAAGAATGGCGGTAGCAATCTGAAAATGGTTTGTGCTGGCTGCCTTCTTACTATTGTGTCTCAGGGGACTAGTCATCTAACTGCTCTTGGAATGGGATGGTTCTGTACAATTAATAACCAAGGAGAACCGCAAATTATGCTCTGTATTGATTCTGTTGTCTTGCATTGGATTTTGTTAGGGGCATATTCTTCTCTTGACTTCCTGGCATAATTCCCAATGATACTAATTGGAGTTGGGTGCAGGTAATTTTACTATAGCACAAATTTTCAATATTTATATGCTTTTTGGCTCGAGTATACCATTTAAAGCTAGACACGAGGGAAGAATTACTGATTCAGGTAGAAATGTGTTTAGTAATGAATTGCTATTGATTTCTGAAATACAGAAAGATTAAAATTTTAAGAGAATAGTATATTATAGTCAAAGAGGAAAAAAAAGGCCAAGAAAGTGCCACTTCATTTAGTGTGTTCCTTTGATTTGTGCAGTGGTTTATCAGGGAAATGACAGAGGCATGCACTTCTTTAAATCCTTAAGGCTTTTGGGTAGCCCTAGTGAATAATTTTAACAGTCAGGTTTATGTGGAGCCAATTTAGGGTAACTTCCTATCTTCTTTTTAATTTTTTTGCTTGGCGTACCATTGGAGCTTACTAAAAATAACTTAAAAAAAATATATAGAGCTTTGTTAGTTTTTTCCCCCTGTTCCAGTAATAATCAATTTTAAGATAATTTTGTTCTTTGTTTCCTTAATAGTCTGATACCTACCTCTGCATGTCATTACGTCTGCCAGTGGATGAGGAAGCCTATGTAGGTGAGTATTAGTTGAATGGAAAATCTGATCAAGCCCTTGTGAAATTACTCAACAGTTTCTTTGACTCATATAAGCCTAATCTTTTACTGTCAGAGTTTCTAAAATGCATTCATCATGCCTAATGCAGAAACAAACTGGAGAGAGCTACTTAGAGTCAAGATAACAAACTGTAGCTGGAGAGATTCATGAGCAATAGTAGTTAAGGAGCTGCATGCAGATGCCTGTAGCAGCCAATACCGAGCCGTCCCATTTGTAAAGTATTGGCTTTCTGTCTGCGGTTGGATACTTAATTCCGCTTCAGTGAACACACTGTTTATTTACCTGCCTGTACAGGCTGTAAATCCTTTGCACTTACAATCAACAATGGGCACAGTAAGATCTTACCTGTCTGCAAAATATATATATTCTGGCCTGGATGACGTGATGGGTAAATGACAGAATGTACTGCAATAGTTTATCGATGTTTAGATCAAAGAAGTAGATAAGTAAAGTAAGCACT